GCACCAAAGGTTTATCTGTGTACATTCTTTGAATAGATATCAGTGAAAAATCGCGATTATATTATATTAACTGCAGAGGTACAAATAATACTGACCACAGAATTATTTTTCTTTTTGTGTGGATACCAATTGTTAATTTGACAGTGTTGCACTTTTCACCCCACAATCAATGACTAAAATAATCACGTGATGGTATTACAACAAAAATGTCACTTGGGCGTTTGAGCTTGACATAACATTCGTTGCGAGTTTAGGCGAAAACCTTAGGTCTACTCGGCAATGTCGGTCGTCAATGGTAGGATTTGTACAAGGAGCAAAAAGAGAGAAAAAGCAAGAGGTATATAGAGGGTGTGGGTGGGGGGGGGGGGGGAAGAGCCCCGCGGGGCCCACTCGTTTTGGCAGAAGCGCGTAATGTAAGCGAACGCCATACCCTTCATAAATATCCCCGATGAATACCATCGATGCCCCCTCGTCGTCCACCGACGCCTACATATCGCGTGCAACAGCAGCTATATACATATCGGGCGCTGATTTAGCAAGACAGTATTCCGCGGCAGAGCAGCTGTATATACCACCACCACTTGTGTAGCGTCTCGGGGGCTCATCTTCTTCTTTTTTCCCTCCTCCTTATTCGGCGTACATTCGCCTTTTTTAAAGTAGCTCCAACACTCGTAAATTCAGCCGTTAGTGCGGCTTCTGCAATATGCGCGTGTTTCGGAGGTTTTTCGCTCCCCAACCCCATCGCTGGTAGTGGTTGCGTCACTTTTCTCCCGTCGGTCAAGTAACTCGATTGTTGTGGACTGGGCAAAGGCCATTCATTTCAAGTGCAAGCTATCTCTTATCTTTGACACGAACTGAAAATTCCCGTTTTTACGGAAACGAATGTACTTTTAATTTCACTTGTTAAGCTTTATTTTTTTTTTTTTTTTTTTTTTTTTTTCTCGTCTCATCCATTTTGTCGATAAATTAAGGGTGCCCGAGGCTTACCAGATAAGGAAGTAAGTATACGCTCGTTTGTCAGTCCGCGGTGGTAATTCGGCAGTCTATATGGTTTCTCGTCCTCCTCTACTTCCGCGTGACGACGATATTCGCACCAATAGTGCTCGTGTATATAGGTATACCTCCTTACACCGCTACGTAATATAATTATATACATAGTATATGTTGAGATCGACGTTGTTGCTTCGTATGGTTGTATTTTCACAGCTTTGCACGCTAGTGCTCCACCAAATTAAAAATTTATTGAAAGACAATTTTTAAAAACCTGATGGCTGCACCAAAGGTTTATCTGTGTACATTCTTTGAATAGATATCAGTGAAAAATCGCGATTATATTATATTAACTGCAGAGGTACAAATAATACTGACCACAGAATTATTTTTCTTTTTGTGTGGATACCAATTGTTAATTTGACAGTGTTGCACTTTTCACCCCACAATCAATGACTAAAATAATCACGTGATGGTATTACAACAAAAATGTCACTTGGGCGTTTGAGCTTGACATAACATTCGTTGCGAGTTTAGGCGAAAACCTTAGGTCTACTCGGCAATGTCGGTCGTCAATGGTAGGATTTGTACAAGGAGCAAAAAGAGAGAAAAAGCAAGAGGTATATAGAGGGTGTGGGTGGGGGGGGATATATCCACGTCTTTCCTATAAATAGAAGAGGAGAGAGGTGCCGGGGCCTCGTTAATCTTAACGCCACGGCAGCCGTAGCGGGCTGTTAATGCGGCGCGTATTCTTTCACCCCCGTCGCTAAAACAATCAGCGGAGTAACGCAGCCCCGAGTGAGCAGCCGCGCCTTTTTTTTTTTTTTCCCTCTTCATTCCTCGAAATTTATCGATTTTCGTGCGAGCCGACTCCGACTGGGCGTCGATGATCACGCGCCTCAAGTGTGTATGTGTGTATACACCAACCCGCCACGTATTATGCCGATCGATTTTTCAGCCGATGCAAGTGTGGGGGTAGCAACTCGAGGAACGTAAATTTCTCCGGCTGGACAATCAAGGCCGAGCCCCCCGTGTATATTATACATCTGTTGTTGTTGTTTTTTTTTTTTTTTTTTCAATCTATGCTGTTTTTGGTTAAACTGCACAAGTGTATAATATAGTATATAGAATTTTCATCGAATTTTAATTTTTTTTCTCGTAGGTATATCTACGTGATTATCAATTATCCCTCTTCCCTTCCTTCTCCAAAGTGCTAAGTGCCCATCGTAGTGCCCTTATTAAAGAAGCCGGACGTGTAGAGCACTATTATATAAAAAAAAAAAATGTCAAAGCGTGGAATGGCTATCGACCGGAGTTGGAGGGTGAGTGTGCGAGCATACGTCGCNGGGGGGGGGGAAGAGCTCCGCGCGGCCCACTCGTTTTGGCAGAAGCGCGTAATGTAAGCGAACGCCATACCCTTCATAAATATCCCCGATGAATACCATCGATGCCCCCTCGTCGTCCACCGACGCCTACATATCGCGTGCAACAGCAGCTATATACATATCGGGCGCTGATTTAGCAAGACAGTATTCCGCGGCAGAGCAGCTGTATATACCACCACCACTTGTGTAGCGTCTCGGGGGCTCATCTTCTTCTTTTTTCCCTCCTCCTTATTCGGCGTACATTCGCCTTTTTTAAAGTAGCTCCAACACTCGTAAATTCAGCCGTTAGTGCGGCTTCTGCAATATGCGCGTGTTTCGGAGGTTTTTCGCTCCCCAACCCCATCGCTGGTAGTGGTTGCGTCACTTTTCTCCCGTCGGTCAAGTAACTCGATTGTTGTGGACTGGGCAAAGGCCATTCATTTCAAGTGCAAGCTATCAGGTAGCTCTGGTATGACGTCGGATTCTAAACATTTTCTCTCATCCAATAGCTTCGTCATTTTTGACCATCGCCTCGGTTTAATGCATCGTTAAAGTGTTTCTTATTAAATCTCTAATCCAGTGGTCTGCGTAACATAGTTTTATTGACAAAACTCCAACAATTGTGCCCATTGTTTTATTTTCCACAAATAAACGCAACTTTTTTCCTTATGCCGTAAAGCTCTTTGAGAAAACAACAAAATTTTCATCCTTTTCCGTAATTTATAGTCACACTCCCGTAGACTCGTAGTTAAAACACACGACTAGTCCCCCAATGCAAACACCCTTGACTCTCACTTCGCGGCAACAAAAATAAATTGACCAACCACTGCAGCACACAATATGTATACTCTTGACGCATTCGTACGTATACGGCACAGCTGATGCTCTGTATATATATATATATATTATATACCTACTCCCGAAGACGAAAGCCCGTAAATCTCCGACGCTCTGACCCGAGCTCGGTTATGGGTGACACGGGCACACACCACTCTCGTGCACTCGCTCTCTCTGAGGTTCAATGTCGCCCGCTCGTCAAATTTGCACAGCACAGGAGAGGGAGAGAAGTTTGTCCTCTCTCATATATCCGAGTCCATGTATATAATATATGTATACACCTCATTCTTTTGCTCGTCGCAAAAGTTGTTTGGATTTCGGAGGCACGGGTGGTGCACAACGGTATGTTATATCCTAATGGAAGCTGCACGCGTATGACTGTGTGGTTACCGTAATGCGCTCCTCTTGAAAAGCCCCTCGTCTCGGCCGAGGATAAGTATAATTTCAAGCGCGCTTGTTCGGGTTGTTTGATCATCGGCAGATATTTATATAGGCGTATACGTGATTGTCAAACACGGCGGATAAGAAGCCAATTTTCTCTGGCCTAAAGACACCAAAGATACTTTTCCTCCCTCTTTCTCGGCATGGTATTTATACATACACGTGTAGACTCTGCGTCGCGAAATTTATTAGCCCGGTAATGAGTACACCCCTCCTAGCGTGCACCCTTATTAGTACAAAGACGGGGGTGTGATCGGGTATGGGCGCGACTCCCGCTCGACCGAAAATAATTTTCGATAGCCGTCCCTCCGTACCGATGGCTCGCCCGTCAAAATGTACCAACGCACGCGCGCTATTATTAATACGAGTTCGCATTATAATACATCGCACGCGCCCCGTGCTTATAGGGTACAAAGCACGCTCTTCTATACCTATACTCCCCCCCATCAATTCGCAGATACGGATCTCCCACGCCCATAGCCGCTTGGTGATCGAATCTCCCGGGGATCGCGACTCCGGGAGACCCGCAATTACCGAGGGCCCCGAGGCCCACCCATGATACGCCGAATAGCAGCCCCGAGTTTTCAATTTACCGCGGCTCCTTACCTTTAACCCGTAGCCGTGTGTGTATGTATGGAGACTCCGCGCCAATGGTACGAGAGCTCGGGGGCGAAATTCCCCAAAATTTTTTGTTTACGCGCTACGCGTACGGAAATGCCGCAAAGTGCAATCGAAGTCGATCAATCACTTTGGAATACGAGCAGCAGCGCGTGCTGGTTCGATCGAGTTTCTTTCCCGAACTTTCCCGATGCTCGCGTACCTCCGTGTTCTTTACTAATTAAGCCAAGACGATCATGACTCGGGGTTTTCCCCGCGCTTATGTGTACACAAATCGTTTGGATCCTTTCTCTGATGTGTGTTTACACCGTTGGCAAGTGCCCCGGTATAATATATACTAATCGTGCTGTGTTCCTCGTGTGATGTTTTCATTTGGAATGTCTACAAACACTCTACAGATACCTATCGCTCAGCAGGTGAAACAGCTATAGGAAAATTATCGAATAATAATATGTGCACCGATATATTATATATACCTTACCGTAGATTTGTTTCTATGTGAAAGCCTATATGATTTTTCCTCTCTGCAAAGATTGTGAACAAAATTATTGTACGTAAAAGTACAATGGTTGGTTAAAACACTGCTGGCCCCTTGAAAACACATATCACACGACCACCCAATGTCACTTCTGTGTATACACATACCGATGATTTTGAACATTACTTTTTTTTTTCTCGATGGACAATCAATCACATATTCATACGTCTTCCTCCCGATTTTTCACGCACATAATTTTCTTTTTGTTTCAGTCGGTCGCAAAGAACCTGCAGCCCGAACAACAGTAAGTACAAACACTTTACTTCACCATGTGCCCTGTTTTTTTTTTTTTTTTTCCTCCATCCGGCAATTCATTTATTTTATTTCACTCCCACGTGAAATACGATGGAGTAATCGATCTCCCCCAATGGGATTTTTTTTTTTTCTTTCGCCCAGGAGCGGAGGACACGAAAAGCACGTCTTAATAGCGCGTATAGGACGAACGGTAATGAGAATCGCGGCGTATAAAAATAATTCAATTTTTTTTTAATGCCCCAGTGGCGCTTGTATAATATCTCTCTCTCGAGTCGTTGGAGGAGGATGTTACAATTATATAGTATGTGCGTGTCCGGCTGAGGTATATTTCACGTTTATTCGGTGCTTCGTCAAAAAATAAACGGTCCGCCTCCGTATTTGGAGACTTTGCCTTCTGGTGCCGTGTCCGAGGAAAGAGGTTAAGTCGAGTTTGGCGCTACGGAGTCTTTGTATAAATAAGAGTAGTACCGGCCATCAAATTAATATTACACGCCGAGAAGATGGTAAGATAGAGCGGCCGGCGAGGGGATGTTTATTCGCGCCAAAGCCGTACGTCAAAGTGAATTGCTCTCGTTGTCCGACCTCTGTATGTGTGTATGATATGGGCGGTACAAGGGGTGGGTTGCACGTGTATATACGTCTGTCTAGGCTTAACATGCATACAGTCGCGTCTTAGCGCCCGTGAGTTATATGCCGCGAAAACAGGGGACTTTAACTGTTTCCCCGATGCTATCCTTGCTTCGCAATTTATTTTTTTTTCATTCCTTCCGCGTGTGTGCTCGAATTGCGAAAAAAAAAATTTATTTATTCATGGGCGCTTTGAGATTTATTTCGGTTGCGCGCCGCGTTTTTTATGAGCTATATGTATATGTGTACGGTTCCATTGGCGTATAATGGGGGATAGGGGGATGAGGGTTTCTTTTTTTTTCCGAGATAGTAATATTTTTCCTGCTATTTTCTTTGTTTCAGGTTTACAACGGCAATTTTAATGAAAGCATTCCCGAAAATGAAGTACATAATAGACTTGACGAACACAACGCGGTACTACGACCAAACGGTGAGTTTTCATGTGTTTTCGTAAAATTTTAACTCAAAAAGATCGAGTAGTCAAATTGTTAATCTTAAATATCAAGATTTAATTGACAATATTTACCTATGCAATGATACATTATGTTATTTACAAAAATCATCAGACTTGGGTACGGATAACTTTCAAAATTTTTTGGATCATAAATNAGGTACAACGTGCGCTCGATTTCAAGGTCCCGCGAGGTGCAGCGTGTTCCTCGGGCCGATAAGTATTCGACATTAAAATCGGCTTTTACGACGCGCGTGACTCGCGATACTATAAATTCGGCCTCTCCGCGGCTCTGAATATATCGCGGTTTGTAAGGTGTATAAATATACACGCGGGGCTTTCGCGGCCGCGGGAAGGAGGGTAATACGTGCGTGCGTTTATGTACCTTGTGATTTTAGTTTTATTGTTCGAGGGCTCGCGTTGGACGTAAAATTGTACAATTTTAATCGATTTTCCGGGCACCTGCAGCGGTGCTGAGGAATCAAAGGATAGAAGAGGTCTTGCCGAAGATCTTTGAGTTTTAGAAATTTTTTTCCAATACCCGTAGTAGGTTGGTATTTTTCTGGAAAAATTAATAAATGACTTTGAATTACTCAATATTCATTTCACACCAAAAAAAAAGATAATATTTGTGTAAATTAGAGGATGGTAAAGTAAAGTGCCTATTTTAATATGATAATTTATCATGAGGACTATGAATAAACGTATTATTTTTACAAAAAAAAATTTTTCTTAAAATTACTTGTATCAGTGTGAGTAGAGGATAAAATTTATCCCCTATCCGTGTGAATGTCAGAGAAGTCCAAAGTTTAATCCAACCAACAATACAAAATTAGAAAAAAAAAAAAAAAAAAACAAAAAGAAATTCTAGACTGAAAAAAAAAGAAAAGAAATACTATTGTGAATAGTGATGAAAAAAAACTTTTTATTATAATGTTAAAAAATCCACAAAATAATGGTGCCAAAGTCTGACTATGATTTAGCATCAAGAACGCTTTATGCCACGTAAACGACGATGCATGCGTGACAAAAAGACACTTTGTCCTTCCGAACAATTTGACTGCTCGATCCCCAATGAAAGAGACTCCCCTTCGAAATCCTTCTATTATTCCACTCGACCCCTCGATTGGCCATTGAACTTTTCTCGAAAAATCGGTCCTCCAGACGTCACTCACCTCGAGGCTGTCCCCCGTTCGTCTTATTTTTCAAAACGTCCCTCGTAAGAGCGAACACCGAGACGAGGTCAGTGCCGACCTTATTGAGCGTTTACGGAAGATCAAGAGCTGCGGGGCTAATTCGTCCCAGACGGGGGAGGAAAAAAAAGCACTGGGCAAAACTAACGAGCTTACTATTGAATTTCCCCTCTCCACTCCTCAGGGGCTGCTAGATCTCGGGGATCCAAGAAAAATGCGTAATAAAAGCAGGCTCCCCTGCTGCCGCCTTTCTAGGTCATCGGAGATGGGATTACGGATCGAAGCGACTTTTAATAGGATTCGCTACCCCCTCCGTTCTGATGAAAATTTTCATGTTCTCACTTGCTTTTTTTCCTTCTCATTTCTCGTAAAGCGCGAAAATAACGAAAAACCCCGCCTCCCTTTTTTAAATGCACAATTAATGATATAATTGATCGAGACCGCGGGTTTTTTTTAACGATGAATAATTACAACGGCCGTATCTGCGCGCCAATATTATGTTATAGGGAAAAAAAATAAATAAATAAATAAAACGCATCGAAGAAGAAGGGCATAAATAATTTCCGCTTTAATGTGCAATAAAGAATTTATGAATTCGATCGAAAGAGAGAGAGAGGAGGCAAGGTGAGCCACTCGCGTCCCTCTCCCGTTTAATTTTCCCCCTGGCCTGCACTCCGCGCTTACCTATATCTGCCTCGTAAATTTAATCCACCGCGGCTCCTCATAAATTCATAAGCAAATAATACACAAGTAGTGCCCACAGCTCGTACACGTGTATTATTACTACATTACTCGTAGACCAAATTAATGAAGATCCAGCCACTTGTAGGCATCTATACTTCCAAGCACCACCGCGTTCGTAGTCTCCTCCTACGTGAATGATCGTATATACTTATCATCCAATGCTCCGTGACAGAAAAACAAAAAAAAACTTTCTTGTTGAGATTGACTCTCGCGTTGACAAGATATAATATGCTCACGTTCGGGGATTCCCGGATTTTGAAGGTGTACCTATATATACTTAATTTAATGAAACCACCATCGAGTCCAAGTCGATAACGGAGCAAAAACGAAAGAAAACCCGCAACGGCGAACAATCGAGCCAACTCGAGGCCCCTCAATTAACCGCCCGAGCGAGAAGAGAGAGAAAGGGCTGTATGGGTACAAAAATCAGGTCCCTACGGTGTTCCCTTCAAAGGGCGTGATTCGCATTAATATACGCCCTGTACACGCAGGGAAGGGAGCACGAGAGAAAGGGGGCCGCCCACGTGATTATTCATGTCATTGATAATTAACGCGACGGGGCGCTCTCCTCGGCGCTGCAACGATTAGCCTTGATAATTAGAGGTATACGGGGAGGCTGGAAGACGAGTAGCCTCGCGAGAGGTGAATGATCGGCTTATTAGAGGCGCGAAGGCCCCTTTCTCATCCCCCCCCCCCTCGGAACCCGTAGTCGCTCTTCTTTTCTCCCTATGCACATTGTACCCGGGCCCGGCTTTTGTTTCGCCGATCGAGAGCTCTCGACTGCCCTGATTGATTCGAGACAGTTTGTCTCGCTCGGGCCTGTCCGTGCAGCTCTTACGTACCCTCCGTTGTCCGCTCTCGGGGAGATAAATGTCTCTATTTCGTTTTGTCGGCGGTGCCGGTGCTAACAGCGCGCTTTGTCTTACCCTCGAAGCGCGTGAGACGCGTGTCTTAATTAAAATGCAATTTTTTTTTTTTTTTACCACTTTTCCAACCGCGCTCGTTTCCCGATCCTTTTAATTGTATCCCTCTTGTCTCATCCGATGCACGACCTTTTATCGCCGCGAGGCCCGACTACATTACGCGTTTGTTTCTCATTTAGGACTTCACCAAAGCCGGCATCAAGTACCAGAAAGTTATGATCCCGGGGATGCAAGTGCCGTCGATGGAGTATGTAAAAAGGTGAGTGCGAGTTATGTACCGTGTATACATGTACCTATATATTATACCCTGCACGACGTGTGTGTGTGTGTGTGTGTGTAGAAGGTAGAGGTACAACGTGCGCTCGATTTCAAGGTCCCGCGAGGTGCAGCGTGTTCCTCGGGCCGATAAGTATTCGACATTAAAATCGGCTTTTACGACGCGCGTGACTCGCGATACTATAAATTCGGCCTCTCCGCGGCTCTGAATATATCGCGGTTTGTAAGGTGTATAAATATACACGCGGGGCTTTCGCGGCCGCGGGAAGGAGGGTAATACGTGCGTGCGTTTATGTACCTTGTGATTTTAGTTTTATTGTTCGAGGGCTCGCGTTGGACGTAAAATTGTACAATTTTAATCGATTTTCCGGGCACCTGCAGCGGTGCTGAGGAATCAAAGGATAGAAGAGGTCTTGCCGAAGATCTTTGAGTTTTAGAAATTTTTTTCCAATACCCGTAGTAGGTTGGTATTTTTCTGGAAAAATTAATAAATGACTTTGAATTACTCAATATTCATTTCACACCAAAAAAAAAGATAATATTTGTGTAAATTAGAGGATGGTAAAGTAAAGTGCCTATTTTAATATGATAATTTATCATGAGGACTATGAATAAACGTATTATTTTTACAAAAAAAAATTTTTCTTAAAATTACTTGTATCAGTGTGAGTAGAGGATAAAATTTATCCCCTATCCGTGTGAATGTCAGAGAAGTCCAAAGTTTAATCCAACCAACAATACAAAATTAGAAAAAAAAAAAAAAAAAAACAAAAAGAAATTCTAGACTGAAAAAAAAAGAAAAGAAAAAACGAAATTCTTATATCATCTTGAGAAATAACGAGGCAGTAGCCGCACGAACCTGCTGCTGAGGTAGCGCAACGATATTCCAACGATCGGAGCTATACCAACAGGTCTACGCTATATACTCGGCTATACTTACAAGTATAGCTCAGCTCAACCGCGGCTCGCGCAATCGAGAGCGTGTAGGTGCCCTTCGGCTGCGCTATCTGCCGCTGCTATACAAGAAAAGAAATACAACAGGTATGAGAGAAGACGCGACGCTGTAACCGGTTATCTAGTCCCTTCATGCCGATCGTATACACGTATATTTCAACGTTGCACCGTTGCTCCCCCGGGGGGGGGGGGGTCCATCTGGAATAAATGGTACATAGAGGATGCTTCACTTGCTTCCGCTGCTGTATATACCTACCCACCCACTTATACCTTTTGTCATGTGAACGATTATAACTGTAATTTAACATCATCGAATTATCCGTTGCCGTGTAACATGTGCGTATAATTACGTCATTCGAATTTAATCGGATTGACGATTAATCTTGAGCAGCTGCGGCTGCAAAAATTGATGTAGGTATACGTTTGACGCAAAAAGTCATTTAAATCAGTCGATACTCCTATACAAAGGGCAATTTCGAGGAGCAGTTTCATTCGTATATACGTGTTGTAACACACTAGACTAGTATTTATACGGATTTATTGATTTACAGTATGTACGTATACATACTTTTTGCACCGAGTCTTGCACCGCAAGTTGGTACATACCATTTTTCCACGCATAGGCACAAAGCTCCACTCGATCCGGTGGCCGGTGCTGAAATCAATCCTCGGCAGTATAGGCATATAGGTACAGAGAAAACCAGATGTCTTTTCCTCTCCGTCGAGCGGCCCAGGGCACACAATACGCTCCTACATTTGCAAACGTGCTTTACGAGATTATAGCTCGTGGCAGGCGCAAACACTTGTTCCCATTGTAAATTTCGTATCGTGTATTACACGGATATATCGGTACGCCTGTGTACGTACAATCCAATACCTGATAGGTAGGTACGCGTGGCGCCCGGAAAAGCAGCTTACTTACATACTATATATATATATATGTACCTCTGCTGTCAATCGTTGAGCACGTATCGATTTAAGGGGTCGGCCGTGTGGATTAGCCGTGTTTAGCTGGCCTCCTTTTTCCTGCGCTCTCGAGATTTTATCGGGAACTCCATTCAGGGATTAGGAGGCACGCGGTAGCCTGCTGTACGTGTACCTGTCGTGTATTAAAATACCGGCAAGTGTACAGCCCTACGAATGTTTTTTTTTTTTTTTTTTTTTTTTCTCTCAGGTCCTGGTGATATGAATTTGAATGCAAGTTGTACACCCATAAGTATATGGCGAGAAAAACAAACAGGTCAAACGAATGCAGTGTACTTACAACTAAACGTCGGAGTAGCGCTCACGGGTATATATATATATATATATATATGTATACCTACGACACAATATCATGTTGCGCCTATGAGTATGTAATTACGAAAATGGGTCGGGAACAATGAGGACGATCGGGAAGTGTATATATATGTAATATAAAGTGCGCTCTCGTCGGGCGCCGGGGCACATTAGGTCGCATGTGGATGCGTATATGAACGTACGTTTTGTGTTGTAGAGAGAGGCTGTTCTTTGTCCTGATGATCATCTTTCTCCTCTCGTTCGCTCCGCATGCAAAATGGGCTCGCCGCGCCCGTAATCGGTGTACACAGTCAATTAGCCCCAACAGGCGTGTACCATGTCCCACCAGTCGGAGATTTGAGGTGCTTCGAGCGCGATCATTTCAACATGATTTTGATTTGATTTCATGGGCCATGGGGTAAAACTCTATGTATAAGAGCAGTTTTACACGTAGTACATTACCATGAGTAAGTGAATGATGTACGGTAAAATTTTTTTGGTATGCTGTGTTCATTATAATTTTTATATGAAATAAAATAATTTGTACTTGTATAACCATATTAAGAAAAAATAGCTATTTGTTTACTTTAGTGTTTTTTTTTTTTTTTTTTTTTTTTTTAATGGTCATAATTTGGAGTGGTATATTGATACATTGGTATTGCGATTGGACGCCCGATGGCCGGAATTCATTAAATTTAAACAACACATGCGCGTTCAATAATTAATCGGTACCTATACGCGTGTGGAAGATAATGAAAAAAAAAAAAAAAAAAAAAGTCTAGAAAAGCTCATCCGCGCGGTAGAGTAAACAAGGGAACGAGAGAGGGAGGGACGTAAGCGAAAAAGCCATTAGCCGGGGGACGGGAGCGTAAATAGTTTCAAGGCGATTTCGCGAGTAATAAAAAGTTATTAATGCCTCTCGACTCCTTCCAAGGATCTCGAATTAACGTTTTACTTACCGACTCTCTAATACGTCAAGCTGCGCGACAGCGCGATCGCTCATCCTTATCGTTGCTCTTTTGAAGAAAAAAAAAAAAAAAAAAAAAAAACGCCAGCTTCCGCGTTAGATCGACATCGTCCACTTCATCATGATCATATAATTGTCATCGGCATCAACGTCATCGTCGCTGTACACCACGGAGATGGAATTATTGTACCTTTCGTTTCGCTTGGAAGTTACCAAGGAAAAAAAAAATGTAATTAGCTGGAAATAAAAAATAGTTGGCTCATCTATTTTTTGTTAACATTACTTGTGCTGATCGGATCTTTTTTGCGCGATGGAAAATATATACGTAAACGGGTGATGGTAAATTAAGCAAAATATTTTCTCTCATCAAAAATAGGATTGTTGTTCAACATAAAGTTGCAATTGCTTTATCGACATCGATATTTTCTTTGCAGTGTTGCATAGAGTGGTGATATTGAATTTCACACACTCATGTAACTTGACTCACCGATGACCCGAGTGTATAATAATTTTATAATCCTCATAAAACAATAAAATCATTTGCAACGTTAGAGAAAAAAAAAACCGCAAAGTTTTCACTTTAGAAACCACATATCATATGCATTTGTTACGTAAAAGTAGTAAAATCGTTTGAAAAAAAGAAACACCTCGTACATGCAGCCGCACCTGTACGCGATACATCTTTTTCACGCGTGTTTGACCATAAAAACATACGACGTTTCCGTGTGGTATGGAAACGAATATTTTATCACATTCCACGAGTAATACTAAGTTGCGGTGCTCAGTCTCTACAGGCCGACAGGCGTGTGGCTGTACAAATAACAGCACCTCTCTTTTTTTTTTTTTTTTTTTAAGTATTCCATCGCACCATTAGCAAGCGAAATGATTTTTTTCCAAAGTCTATAAACTCAAGAAAAAAAAGGCACGAGCGCAGTTGGCGATAGTTTCTTCCTTTCGTCGAGCAACAAATGTCCGAGCGAATGGCGCAGCAACTCGGCGACGCGCTGCAATCAAACTCGACCGTCGACATGTGTAAGTATACAGCGCAGCTCGATACCACGCGACACCGGCCGCGAAAACTCTCGACTCGAGGCCAAGCTGGGCGCCACTCGGTGTCCTGGGTACTTGTATCCTTGAACTCACGGGGACCCTCTTTCTCCCCCCAGACGCTCAAAAGAGCGCAGTCCCACCACCCCTTGTTTTCCCCAGATTCTGCACAAACTGTTGTCTTGCAAATTACTTTCTTTTGTTGCGCACTCGCGTTATAGCCGCTCCCGAACAAAATCGCCCGAATCGCGTTCGAATGATCTTACAGTGTCATTGCGTGGCTTGACGGCTTGTAAAATAAATAAACGGGGAAAAGGAAAGACAACGGTACAATGTGGAGAGGAGCAATATTTAATGCGCGACAAAAAGAAAGAGCGTCGAAACATCGGTCGAGTGCAGGGCGTTTAATTTATGTAAACCATAAACTTATTTACTCGGTCCGCGCGAGGCTTGCCCCTCAGCTCGCGCCTTCGCGTTTCGTCATCCATCGGCGCGCGACTTTAACGAGCCGATTGAAAAACAATCTCGCGGTAGCCGGTGATTTTCCTCGAGTTTTCCACCCGCGGAGGACGAACATCGGGCCGGTGATCGCAGCTGATTGCGGCAATCGGTTACGTATCGCACTTCTGGATATACGCGCGTATAATTCATTATACGCTCGCTAGCTATGGCCATATATACATATATGGTTAAGAGGTGTCGTGTATTCACGTTTTTTTCGTATATACCTGCACGTC